TCCAAATGCTGTGTTTGAGGAAAATCCTCAACATTCCATCGGCTTTCATCGACAGAACAAACTCCAACAGAGTAGTGCTTGAAAAGTGTACAGAATTACTTTTTCCAAATCAAGGCGGCCAACGGAAGTTTAAACTGTTCAGCCAGTCCTATCACGACAGAAAACCAAACTTCTAGGGCATGTGTTGAGAGGGTCAGTGACTAAGAGGAACTCTCTGCACTTTGGCCTTGAGTTGGTTGTCTCCCTCAGCAAAACGTGTAAGGCTACCTGCCTCCATCAGCAGTGCGACGACCTGGCGGTGCCCGGCAGCGTCCGGCTCTGAAGATGGGTCTTGTGACAACTCTGCTCGTCAGGAAAAAGTAATTGGTTGTTGCTTGAGGCTTGGGCACATGTTTCAAACATATCTCTGCACTGCTGTTTGCGCCTAGCTCGCTGGCTTTTTGGTGCCCTCAAGAAACACGCGGGCAAGCAGATTGCAACCAATGAGGGCCCCACCGCTGCTCGAAACATGCGCGCCGTGCAGGTCCACGAGAGCCGGCTACCTCTGTCTGCAGCCGCCCTCCGCTCTAACATGGAGAACGCTCGCGCGGGCAAACATCTCGTAGCGGGGCGGTGGAGTGCTGCAGCAGAGGCCCGGCTGCAGGCAGCTTTGGCAAAGCCAAAGCAAAAGCGGTACGAGCCACAGCTTGAACAAGAGGCGGAGAAAGACAATGCACCAAAGAAGAAATCGCAAATTCTACCTTATACTTATCAGCCCGATCTGCCCAAAACCCGTACGTGTAACCAGTGAAGCAAAACATGAAATCGTTGAGAATGCCAGTTTCAAATCTGTCATGAGTTGAGGGTTGGGCTAGAACGTTGAATCACGCTCCTGGCCAGTTTGACGGGACTTGCCCACCTCATTGACATTTCACATACCCTTTGCGTGGGTTACCCAGACCAGCAAAGACAACGTGAGTGAGTGAATGTGTGTACATATTTTGTCTTTTGCGCTGCCCCCAACACACCTGACGAACTTGTGTTTGCTGGATCACAGCGTCGCGCTAAGGCCGGCTCCGTCTTTGAGTCCGCAAGGGCGGACGCGCAGCGCTTCCTCCTCGTCCTCTATAGCTCTTCTTCGTCCACGACGAAGTCGGCCCTCCGCCGAAAGGTGGAGGCGATGAAGAAGGACAACGGTATTAAACAAGTATCGGGTCTTTCCTCTCGAGGAGATATCGAACAATTTTGTTTGTTTTAGTGGATGGTGCGAAAACGCGAAGCCATTGCTTTGGAACAGCGTACGAGTTTGTTTATGTTTTTCCCTCTCTCTCTCTCTATCTCTATCTCTATCTCTCTGTCTCTGTCTCTGTCTCTGTCTCTGTCTCTCTCTGTTTCTGTCTCTCTCTCTCTCTCTCTCTCTGTCTCTCTCTCTTTTTTTGTGTGTGTCTCTCTCTCTCTTTCCTCTGTCTCTCTCTCTCTCTCTTTGTCTCCTGTCTGTCTCTCTTTGTCTCTGTCTGTCTCTGTCTGTCTCTGAGTCTCTCTCTCTCTCTGTCTCTGTCTGTCTCTGTGTCTGTGTCTGTGTCTGTGTCTGTCTCTGTCTCTGTCTCTGTCTCTGTCCTGTCCCGTCCGATCCGGTCCGGTCCGGTCCGGTCCTGTCCTGTCCTGTCCTGCATGTCCTGTCCTGTCCGTCCGTCCGTCGGTCTGTCTGTCTGTCTGTGTGTCTGTCTGTGGACGACGAAGGGCTAAAACCAAGGACATTGTGAGGGAATACCAAGAACATTGTAAGAGAATACTCAGCAGCCATCCAGGCGCCCGCAAGGAGCTAGCGGATGAGCGCGTTCTGTCAGAGGCTCGCAAAGAGGCTGCAGAAGCCAATGAGGCCAGAACGGTAGAAAGATCAAAGCGTCAATTCCAGAATGGGCCAAATGTATTGGCAAATGGTTGTAGTTGAACACTGTAGCTGCAGCGCTCGAATTATATTCCTTTTTCACTTGCGCACCGGAAGTATAGAACAGAAGTCGGCCGACGTCCGAACATTTAAGACTCTTTTGCTTTGATCGTTCAACTTTCCGCTCCTTCAGGAAGAGCTGCAGGACCTTCGGGCCTGGTGGGGCAAATACGCTCCGAGCAGCCCCACCAGCAGTCTGGCGCACGTCCGACATGAATTCGGACCAAAAGGGTAGCGCGCAGTGTCAGCTTTCCAAAGTTGTGGCAGCGGCAGTCTACAACGCCGCAGTTTGTGTTTCAACATGCCGGTGGGGGTCCGGACAAACAACCCCTCCCCAAACAGCAACCGGGGTCTGCGGCGCGGTGCCCCAACGCAGCCGCATCCCCCCTCATTTGTGGCGGGGGCGAATCGTCCCGGCCTGGGGCATGGTATAGTTGCCCCAGACAGACACACAGATGCAGACAGAGACAGCCAAGCACAGACAAGCTGACAAGCGCAGACAGAGACGGACAGGCAGGGAGGCAGACGGAGACGCACACACACAGAGAGGCCATTCACAGCAAACAAGGATGCAGAAGACAAAGCAGGACAGGTCAACCAACCAACCCGCCAACCCTGCAGGGATTCCAAAATTACGTGGATGCGCGCATGGTCGATGAATCGAGCTTTTGTGTCTTCGGTTATGCTGGATCGCGTCGATCAACACTTGCGTTTGGCCAGGGACATGCCCTACATGCCGTTTGGCGGCTTACAGGTTGTCTGCACCGGCGATCTCTACCAGCCACCTCCAGGAGGTCTGCCGATCTTTGCTTCGAAGTTGTGGCCATTGAGCTTTGTGAGATAGAGGGTAACCAACGGGCCTCCAAGGATCCGGCTTGGGCCGCGTTGTTGGCTCGTGTGCGGTTGGGAGATGGACCGTGGAGGATGTCAAGATCTTGGTGGAAGGCTTGCTTCCGAAAGAAAAATTGAACCATTTGTTGTCTTGAGATGGTTAAGTACACCCGGTGTTGGATTGCCTGTTGTTACTCCTATTCGTGCTTCAACAATCCGCGGGCCGGTCGCCTGGTGACGGTTGAATTTTGGGGTGAAGTTGGTTTTTGCTGTCCGAAAGTCTGGCCCATGGGCCTCCTCAAGCTGCCAAAGTATGGGACGATAGTGCAGAGGTTGATGAGCGAATCTTTCAACCTTACAAGTTCCGATTGAGCCTGAATGGCCAGTGGTTTCCAGCGTTGCGCCACCGCACGGCGGAGGCGAAGGCAGCCGGGGGACCAGCCCTGTGGCATTCAGCCACAGCGGGGGATATGGCCTTAGCGTTCGGGTTTTTATAGTATAAGGGTCTGCGGCCGGCTTTGGAATTGTAAGATGGCGACGTCACAGGACCCCTCGTTCGGACAGGTATCTCCTCTTTTAGTTGGGGCAGGGCCAGCCTGCCAAAGAGTCTCGGCATCAATAACCGGAGACGAGGAGCGGTGCGAGACGGGCGTTCCAACCTTATCAAGATGGAAATGTTGCCTCCATGGATGACAACGATGGGCAGGTGATGTCATAGGTTGCTCCGGGGAATATCCCTGACTTGTGACGCGGGGGGGTGAGACGTGCACGGCCCACGGTTATTTTTGGTTACCCGGGAGCTGGATAACACAGACCCACAGGTGGAGATCGACGACAAGCAAGTAGTCCTACGCGGGGACCAGCCCTGGCTTGTCTGCGAAAAGGGGGGATAAGGTACAGTTGCTTCTAACACTGCTTTTGTTTGACCCGGCTTGAGAGCAAATAAATAGGCAGAGCCACTGAGAGCATGGGTGGCGAGGCAGCCCTTGGGCCGCGGAAGTTTTGTAGAGTCTTTACCTTGCGACACATGACGAGGCTAATACAGCTTGCCACAAGAACCGGAAAGACAGAGCCTTGAATCGTTCTTTTACTTCCCCCAAAAGGATCAGGCTTGATAATCCTGCCAGCGCCTTTCGACCAGCCGGACTTTTTAATTATGGAAAATGTCGAGCGCTCACGGTTGAAAGGCATGGTGTGGCCGCCAACGCCCCCACATCCTTGAGTGTGAGAATTCGGGGGCAACTCCCTGGAATGTGGCTTTTGGTTAGGACATAATAAAAACTCCACGAGTTGCCTAAAAGAGCTCGACCCGCGCTGGAGCTTGTTCTCCAGGATATATGTAAGAAGAACGCTGGGTTCTCCTTTTGTTTACCTAGGCTTATGCTGGGTTCTCATAGGATTCCGCGCGCCGAAGAACTCATTCAGGTTGCCTTAAGGGTCGCCATTGGCCTCATTGCAGCCAGGAAGGCGCATGTCGTGTTTACGCAAATTTTTTTGGACAGAATCATCGTGCTTGACCGCTGGCAAGCCCCGCATACCGCTTTGATTTACTGAAGTGAGGGTAAACGGTTTTGGCTGAGACGCATTGGGTCCATCCTCAAAGAATCTTCGCGCCATTATTCGGTTCCGTAGTGTTTTGGCTCTTCCCGCCGCTCCCACCCTCTTCACCGGGAAATAAGGCAAAGAATCCTTTAAGAATGCCTACAAAAAAGCTCGGAATGAGCAATGTTAAAGAAGAAATTAGTTCCTCACGGCCTGGCCAGGGTTTGTGGTGTGGCCCACCTGGTCAGGGGAACTCGATTACCTGGAGCGTCCCCTTCCTTGAGTTGTGACCGAGGAAGGGGGGAGGTAATCACCCGGTCGTGTTTATGGGGTTTTGATCCCAAGTTTTCAATATGCTTCTGACAAATTGGCTGCAGAGCGAACTGAAAAAGAGGTGTCTGGCAATGTTTTTTTATATATAAGTAGATTCTCTGTAGAAATCACTGTTTGTTATCACTATCACCAAAATTTTCATGATCACTTTTAAGCATCACCTTAAATATAGTTTTTCTATGCCTTTCTACTTTGAGTATCTAAAGTCACATCATAGATACTACAAGTCAACCAGGAAAATTCCCACTCTGTGGAACGTGAAGACTGCAAATTGGTAATTCCTTCTAGTTTCAGATCATCCCCTGGAAGTTGCACTTTGTCACACCCTCAAATGATCGTCTCCATATTCTAGACCTCCACCGCTCAGGCCACTTGGAGCGCCTTTTCATGGAGCTTCAACCTGTCTTCGCACTGGTGCAGCGACGCCTGGGAAAAGATGCCCAGGGCGTCCCCGCGCTCAGGCGAAGCTTTGCGAAGCTCTGCGCGTCAGCGCATCACCAGAACAGCGTGTCAGCGCGCCCAAACACCGCACCGTTCAACGCGGCCGACGGGCTTCGAACAGGGTCGAGCCGGTCGACCGGTGAAACGAACGGTCAGAGCCGTCTGGGGGGGATCGAAAGAAACTCGGACGATGTCTGCCGGAGACGATGTTTGGCGGAGGATCTCCGAAGTCAAAGATACGATGTCTGCGGAGCACCCGTCGTTTGAGAAGGGGTGAAGCAGGCCTTTTTGCATGTTCATCTCCTGACTCTGCACTGGAGACCAGCTTCATCAAACACCCGCCATGAACTACAGAAGGAAACCTTTTAGGCAACTATTGCCCTTTGACCTCTTAGTATACTCGTCCTTCTGCTTTCGCTTAATTTCGTCTCCCCTTCTTCCCTGATCTTTTTGTTCAGCTCTTTACAAGCTGGCACCTGGCGCACCTGGGGCAAGCTTCCTCACGAGCTAGCAGAGTCGCCACGCTGATCTTCTCACCGTCTTTCCAGCTTCCAGGAAGACGGTGCGCGTGGAGATCGAGGACTTGGAGAAGCAGCTGGTGCAGCTGAAGGCGGAGTTCACCTCGAAGCACGAGGAGATGAAGGCCAGCGAGTTCCGGTCGCTCCGGAGCTCCTGTCGTGAACTCAGCGGCGGGTTACGACGTACGCCGCGGGGGCGGTACTTCCGCCAGCTAGCAGCTATATGATAGCTATGATCAACACAGCCCCCAAGTGGACGGCGACCAGTGAAAAGATTATCTCAGCAGCCAGTAGAAGGGATGTTGTACCAGGTGGTACCTCATGAGAACTTGGGTTGGCCGCTAAAGCGGACAACCCTTTTCAAAAGTCTACTGTATAGTATATCTTAATATACATATACTATCATAGAATCATATCTATAGATTATAGGCCGTGGTAGGCTGCAGAGTCCTTGAAGTCCACTCCGCAAGTCTTTGGCATCTGTGCTGCGGACCCCTCGGTGGAAGACATTCTCCACTGGGCCTTGTTTTCCGCGCATCCTTGGAGGAGGTATCCCACCACACCCACCCCCTGTAGGCCTTGGAGGTTGAGCTGAGCAGAATTAGACATGCAACAACCGAAGATAAATACGCAGCTGCTTCAACAGCCAAGTTTTCTGTGTGGGGACTAGAGACAGACATCTGGTAACAGGCATCTGGAGACCATCCAAAGGTATCCAATTGGATGTTTGATCTCACTCTGGAGTTGATGTATGTCATGCAACTGTTCGATCTATCTAGCGTGTTCTTTCAGTTTTTTGATATGATATGGTGATGGGTTTAGACCTCCTTCGAACCGTCGTGAGTGGCCTTCTCTACAATCATCCTGCAGGCCGGCCTCAAGATGATTGTGGCTTGGCCAGACATGCTGGACCTTGGTGTGCTTGGAGCCCATGGTGAGGGGTGAAAGCATGAGAAAACCGATCTGCGGCCGTTGGAGGCCATGGGGTTGACCGACATGCCGTCAATGATTCAACATGATTCAACAACAACCCGCCCTCGTACTACCTGCCAATTGGCTTTCCTTGAAAAACACCAGCCGAGCTGGTTCAATCAGTGGTTCCCAAAGGTTCAAGTCAAACGCTAGACCTGGCACATTCTCTGTGTTGCAACAGCTCTGTGTTGCACAGCTCGTTCCGAAAAGAGCCTTTTGTTGTCACAGCCAAACGGAGCGGAGGGCCTTTCTCCTCCCTCCCATCGGGTCCCTTCGGGTCCCCGCGTTCCACCCGGCGCTTTCCACCGGATGGCGCCCAGGACGATCCCGCGGATCCGTTCGCGGTGGAGATCCCTCCGGAGTTCCAACGCGCCCAGCAGCGGATCGATGAGCTGCTGCGGAAGAAGGACGGGACTACGTCGCGACACCCGAGACGGGAGGAGAGGAGACGAGGGACGCGGACTTTGTCCGGTCATAGACCGAGTTGAGGTTAGAGGTTTTTGGGCCAAGGGCGACATGTGCGAGTGAAGGCGGTCTGGTGCGAAGTGGGTCTGGAGGCGAGGTTAGTGTGGTCAACTGTGGCCGAAGAGCAAAGACGATGCTGCGACTTCCACAGGAGACCACACGTCAGCAGTTCCAGACGGTGCTCTCCAACTTCAAAGCGGTGCCTTTGCTGATTTTTTCCGTGACAGGAGAATTGGTGAACAGAGTCCAAATCTGTGTGGTGGCCTCCAGCATCCTCCAACCAGATATCAACAATGACAAACACACTTCTTTGTTGACCTCAACCATCCCCGGTGTGACACTCCCAAACCCACCTCTCTCGACCGGCGAAATCCGCGCATGCGGTGTTTGGCGGGAAACCGCCTCGTCGCGGTGGCTCCATACCTGTTTGAGAGAGGACTTTGGCCTGTTGGGCCATATTCTTTCATGTTCCGCCCAAACATGTCATGATCATGTCATGAACATTGAAACTTCACCCAGTTTCATCAAGACTCAAGAAGAATCATAAGATTTGCGTGTCCCATTTTGGAGAACCTCAGATTCGTGTGTTTTATCTTCGGACTGTGGAAGCCGGTTCTTTGATTGCAAAGGTCACCCAGGTCCATTCATTAAGCTTTCAACATGCGCAAAGGCACGTCCGTTTCGAGCAGAAAACCGGACCTTTGGTGCAGAAAAACATCGAGGATTCGTTGATAAATAAACTCCACATAACACGTCGATGATTTAGGATGATTTACCATCCAAGTAGGAGGTTTGATCACTCAACATTCGACATGATCTCCATCCGGATTTGAAGTCGACATCACTGTTCTGGAGGGTTGCTAGCATGTTTGAGCTGGAAGACCGGGATTTGCTTGGACTTCGACATGCCGGCATGCCAGCATCCTTGAAAACCCTCGTTTATTTGCCAGGGTTCTGGTGTGTTTAGACCATCCCATGGTGGCCCCCTCCCGCTCTCAGGAGACCTACCGGGGGGATCCCATGCTGGTGGACGGCCAAGTGAAGGACGAGCCGAGCCGAGCTGAGCAACGCGTGGGATGGCGCTCCCCTTCAGCTGGTGAAGGGGGAAAATATGGTAAAATGGGGGTTCTGGGGAGTTTTGGTTCATCAATCACCTCGTTGAATTTTCTTGGCCCTTGAACATTTGAGCCCTTTTTTTTCTGGGGTCTTGTTATGCGCGTTTCAGGGTCATAACTTTCACTTCATTGTTTGGATTGAATGAAGGGGATAATTGTTGAGGTGGTCAGAGTTTCTATGTGTAGGTTCAGGTTCAAATTCTACCAAGCTGTTCTTCAAAGATGTCGAATTATTTGCTTCAAATTCATGTATTGATTGAGGTTAGGCGCTGTGGTTCCGGTTTGGTTTTGCATATCAAGCATCCTTCAATCCAAAGCCAGTTTGGCACAAATTGACTGAAACGATGTATTGTCCTTTTTCTTTGACATTCTGCAGATGCATCTTTGTGAGGCAGGTTCAGCTTGCGCCAGGCCGGTTCGTCCTTCCAAGCGGTCATGCACGAACACAGCCTCCAAGGGCTTTTCCGGCGCAGACCGCTAAAACTGGTTGGACTTTCTTGAGCACAGGGAGCGTCGTAGTGCTGGTTCTCCAAGCTCTCATTCAATTGCAGGGCAGTGAGGAAGGCTGGGCAAAGGCTGGAAAGGACAGAGCCCGCCCCAGGCCTCAAGGACTTCATCAACTCACCTCAACGTAAAGCTTTGAGCACACCATTCTTGGTGGTCAGTGGTTCCCAAGGCATTGGGAAATCAACCATGCTGAACAATCTCATGTGTGAGCATGTGAAGAATGGCAAAAGGGTGCTTTTTGTTGATATTTCTGTTCGTCCTGGCGAGGACTTGAAGCTCAACGAGGCGCTGCCCCAAGCCTTAACGCGTCAAATGTCAAATTTTTGCTGGAAAAGGTAAGTGAGACGTCCAAGCGCCGAACAGGCAGTGTGCTGTACCTGCAGCTCACAGCCAAAAGCCGCGGAGACAAATATAGTAGGGATGCCTGTGATGACATTGCTTCCACCCTCGGTGCCTTCGCTCGCAACATCACCTATGACAATGCCGCGTGCAAGTTCATTTTGGAGGTCAGCGTGTCTGCGGTGGCGGACATCGTCGAAGAAAGGTTTTGACATGTCAAGCCGGGTGGTGGTGCGACCCCTACCTTTCGAAGACTTCACGTCTGTGGTCAAGGAGATCGCGAAGCAGGGAAGCGACTTCCGGACGCTGAACAAGGTTCTTGCCGACGAGGACATCGAGCAGGTGTTGAAGCACTACTACATCCGCGCAGGGGGCAACTTCCGCGCCTTGGGTAAGATACTGGAAAACGTCTCCAGAGAAGGTCAGCATGGCGCGGATGCGGTGATCAAGCAGGTTGAGAAGTGGTACAAGCGGAGGGTGCAACCAATTCAAAAGAAATTGGATGACCAGGAAGTGAAGGACTATATCCTTAAGGTAGCAGAGGCAGGACCCATGGGGTATCTCGCAGAGAGCGACGAAGAGACCAACATGGAGTTGAAGCTTCTTCGTGAGGAGCCAGCAGACTGCGTCCTGAGGAGTACAACCAATGTAAGAGTGGCTTTGAAAGGATGAGCAGAAGTTGAGGGATGCAGGATACATGTGAGCTTCGCCAGTGAAAAGATCTGTGGCGCTTGAGATGTTTTGTGGGTGAGTCATCCAAGAGCAATTTTCACACATTGCATGCATAACCGCAGATACCCAACCCTAGTATCAATGATACCCAGATACCAGTATCTAACTATCAACGATACCCACAACCTAGTATCAATGATACCCAGATACCAATATCCAAGTATCAAGGATACCCAGAGGCTAGTATCAAATATACCCAGATACCAGTATCCAAGTATCAACGATACCCACAACCTAGTATCAATGATACCCCGATCCCAGTATCCAAGTATCAATGATACCCAGAACCAAGTATCAATGATACCCCGATACCAGTATCCAAGTATCAATGATAGCCAGAACCAAGTATCGAGAGACGGGAAACTTCAGAGTTTGACTTCTATATATACCAGAACTTGGACAGAGTGGCTTAACCTAAGAAACTCCAGAGCTTGACACTTGAACAGTGGAAGAAGTGGCTTATCCAAGCAACCTCTCAAAGCCTGACATTTGGCAAACACTTCCACAAAATTCACTAAATATACCGTAGATTGGATTGACCTATATACATCTATCTCTCTATCTATCTACCTACTGTATCTATTGTTGAATGATAACATGTATGTTTAATTGACAATGTAGGTAGTGCAGGCTG